TAATGTTTTTTTCTGTTTTAATTGATTTCTCTATTCTGTACAATTAAAATAAGTATTGAGAATGTTTAAATATAAAGTTAGTTTACTTCAGTGATTATTTGTTATTTTTTATATTGTTTTTTATCATGTTTGTAAATTTCCAGTCTTGCTTTGGAGATTAAATAAAAGAGGTTGGAAAAAAAATCTAGCTGTTTTTATAGTAAATTAAGGTAAAGGAAACTTGTGAAATTTATATCTTTTTAGTAGGATTCTGTTTTTAAATTTCTATGACTGATGTTTTTTAATTTTTTGGTAAAGATATCGAGTCAAACTGTATTCAGGGGTGTCACAATAGCAACTGTTACAATTGTAAATGGTGCTAAGTTTTTTTTTTTTAAAGTCTTAATTGGTCCTCCTAGGTCCTCTTTTTGCTACAAATGGTCCTCTTTTCCCTTTTTTCTTGTCTAAAATATGTTGGGAGCCCTGCTTCTGTGATTTCAGAATTTTTGTTATTTATTATTTTTTAATTTTATCAATTTAAAATTCTGGCTGAAACAAGCCAGTCATTGGCGAATTTTTTTTATTCTAAAATGAGACCAGAAAAATTATCCCCTCCCCCCAATTTCATGATGTTCCGAATATCTGAATTTGTAATAAAATCCCCACTCACAGTCATATTTAATTAAACTGTATCGTGAAAAATTATGGTGTTCTTTCAAAAAATGAATTTCTAGAATGAATCATTTGAAGAGCGAATTATCTTTTAAACTTCTGTGATTTCAGAATTTTTTTTGTTGTTTATTATTTTTTTTATTTTATCAATTTAAAATTCTAGCTGAAGCAAGCCAGTCATTGGCAAATTTTTTTTATTCTAAAATGAGACCAGAAAAATTAGGAGCATTTCTTTCCTTTCTGGTGAACAAGAAAAGTATCTTTAAAATATAATTCTGCTGGAAAAAGGAAAGAAAAAAAATATTATTTGCTTTCTTATTTTTTTCAGCTATTTTATTTCTTCAACTCTTTCTTTACTCTGTTTTTTAAATTTAAAATCTGTAAATATGAAGAGGCAGAGTATAACAGTTTTGGTTATACGTATCATTTAAATTAATGTTATTATAGTGCTATTGTTGTTTTTGTCGAAGAAAATAGTAACTTCGTTAAGTCATGAAAAATTCTTGGAATTAGTCATGGAAAGTCATGAATTTGAAAATCTAAAATGTGGAAGATACCCTGTATATATTTAAATATATGCTAGCACTGAAAGTATGAATAATGGATAAATAATTTGATTTGTAGTAAATACATTTGGTATTATTTTTATTGTAATTTATCTTATTACTTATAGTCCTGATTATCAGAAAATTGCTGTGGCATTATTAGATAGTACTGTTCAAGTATTGTTTGTGGACACATTAAAAGTAAGCTGTATTTGATGCATTTCTACTTATTAATTATTAAAATATTTAAAAATCAACTTATATTTAAAGACTAAAATAAGTTATTTTGATACATTATTTTATTGGTAATTTGTCCTGTTTGTTTTCACTACTGTCAGAAAGAAATTTAGCACTATGTACTATTCTGTAAATTAAATATTTCTTTGTGAATTTTTGTAAAAAAGTATTTTGGATTTGATTTTTTATAATAATTTTTAAGCATTTTTTATTGGTATTTTTTTTTTATTAATTGTTTATTCGCTATGTTCTTAAATATTTTTATGTACTCATAAGCTGATTCAATTTATATTTTTTCTGCATAAATTAAATTTAATAATTAATAACTGATTTATACGCTTATCAGTTTTAATTTTTTAATTTGTTACCATATTACAAAAATGTTAATTTTTTTTATATATTATTATTATATAAAATAATATTTTTCTACTTTTCAAATAGCAATAATTTTTTTTTTTGACTAATTAATGAACTGTTTTTCAGTTAGTGGTTTTGATGTAATTATCAATTTTTATACTTGAAGGCTTTATTTGAATAGAGGGTCTATTTTATCTTTGTTCATTTTAAGCTATGGAGCCTTAAAGTCTTATGAATGTACTGTTTCTTTTGACTTTTCTGATTTATGTCCTTTCCCCTGTAAAATAAGATATGATTGAGTTACATAATTATACACACAAATATATATATATAGATCTAATAGCAGGACAACAACCGCGTTATTTTTGGTAGTGTTTTTAAATTACATTAGTAGAAACATAAGCCGATAGATTTTAACAGGCTTTATTTATTAGAGTATGGTGTAAACAGAAGTCTCACCCACTCTCCCAGCTGGATAGGGGTGGACTAATATCAAGACAGTGGCTGCGAAGATTAGGTTGGCAACATCGTACAGCAAAAGACGCACAAAAACAATCGCTCCTGCTTTAAATACTAACAGAGAAGGAGGTGAAAAGGCTCGATTCATACATACCTTGTAACTCTACGCATCATCGATAATAATTTAATGCTTCCTAATATGGAAGTAAAAGAGGGAAAGATTCTAATCTTCTCCTTTGAAATATAAATCTAATTATCATTCATTGGTATGTTTTCAGCCTTGAAGTTCCAAAATAGAATATCTCTACAACTGTTCTTTACCAAAGACATTTTATGAAAAGAGTTTTAATGCTTTTATTAAAACAAAAGTATTTATAATTTTTGTATTACATATATATTATATAATATGCATATATGGAGCTGAACTACTATTCAAATAAGGTCTTTATCTTTAAGTAGAAGGTTCCTGTATGATTCATTTAAAAAATCCTTATCTTCCCAAACAGCTTGCATTTTCACTTTATGGACATGCTTTACCAGTGACATGTATGGACATCTCTCATGATAGTACATTAATTGCAACAGGCTCAGAAGATAAAGATGTACGAATTTGGAGTATGGAGTTTGGAAGTTGTAATAAGTTTTTAAAGAAAGCTCATGATAAAGGGTAATCTTAATTAATTAGACTGATTTTTTAACAGTACTCATACATTAAAAAAACATAAAATGGTTAAAATAATATATCACTAATTAAAATTTTGAGATTATATATCTGTAGACATTTTTTCAGTTAGTGTAAAATTTAATTTCATCCATTTTAGTGCAGTAACAAGTTTGTATTTTAAGTATTTTCATGAACAGGGTGCCCGGCCATGACCCTCCTAAATATATATTTGAATCATTGTCAAAAATAAAGTAAAAAGGGTTTCTTTATCAGGGACTGTAAATTTGCATTTAATCGAGAGAGAATATTATATCGAAAACTGTCAAATCACTACTAAGGAAGGTAGTGGGAACTATATCATAGATTCTTGGATGCTTGATAAATCTTGCTGGTGTTTCTAATAATTTTCTTTTAACTCCTTTCTGTTTCTCTTGACAATCAAACAAGTTTAGTGTTTTCTGTTCCATCTTCCTTACTAGAGATTCATTAAATTTTAATTTTTGATCACTGTGTTTGCTTCTTTGCACTTAATTTTTACAAGAATTTTGAAAATATACATTATGGGTATTCATTAGTATATATTTTTTCTTCTGACAATCAAACTGAATTTTTTTTTAATATTTTTTTTTTCTGAAAATTTGAAGAATATTTTTTCTTCTAACAATGAAACAGGTTTAGTGTTTTCTGTTCTGTCTTTACTTGTAATTCATGAGATTTCTTTCTTTTTTATTTTATTTTAATTTTGGTCCCTGATGTGTATACTTTTTAAACTTAATTTTTATAAGTATTTTATAACTATACATTATGGACATTTATTAATAGATATATTTTTTCTTCTGACAATAAAATTGAATTTTTTCTGAAAATCAGAATTTCTTTCTTTTGAGAATCAAACAGGTCTAGTATTTTCTGTACTGTCTTTATCACCAGTGATTCATTAGATTGCTCTAGTATTTTTCCCTTATTTCAATTATTTTTTTTTATCAAGGTGTACACTTTTTTAAACTTATTTACAATAATTTTTTTAAAAAGACATACGTTATTGATAGTCATTATGGAGCTACCATATTTATTTAGACAACAGTAACTTATTATCTAAATATTTTATAACATATTATACATTTATATATATAAATTATTTAGATAACTTGTTTTTTCAACTTTTTGCTATCATATATTTTCTTAAGCATTGATAATTTATCTACGTATGGCGACTGGTCTTGAGAAAAATTAATCCTAAAAATTAATGCTAGTTTAATGGCTTTTATAGTTTTTCTTAAATTGACATTGTTTTCTATGAAACTGGTTTAAATTATCAGTTTTATTTGAAGGTTTTGTTAACTGATGCTATAAACTAATAAAAAGAAAAACTATGAACTTAAATGATTATAAGCAAGGAGTATTTTTTCTGCATCTATGTAGTTGAATTAAGAATAACTAGTTTATAATAACTAGTTTATAATAACTAGATAACTTAAAATAACTAGTTTATTATAAATTTATAAGATAAATTATCTATAATAAAATTCATAATATTTTGTTGTTCTAGGATTACTTGCATAAATTTCTTACCAAAAACACATTTGTTTTTCACTGGTAGTAGAGACAATACTGTTAAACAGTGGGATGCTGACAATTTTCAAAAAATTATCACCCTGAAAGTGAGTAAAATGTTTAATTCTAACTCTAATTTAATTCTAGAAAGGAAAATATTTGGTGTTCATCAAACATAATTATGTTTCTTATTAGTTAAATGTTATTTTAATAGTTGACCTTTTCTGTTTAAATGAATGATCATATGTTATGAGGATAATACTAACTTCAAATGTAAAATAATGTTATTTTTAAACTTTGTATTGCACTTATATAATTTGTGTTACATGGTGAGGAAAACCTCCCATGATTAGTCTGGCGGCAAGGGGACTCTAACCCATGGTCCGTCTACCACTGAGGATATTTTATGTCAGCACTATGGTTTGTGCAAGCCGGGTGTGAACAGCCATCACTGTAATTCGAACTCAGTTCACCTCATTAGGTGGCAACCGAATTATCCCATATGTAAAAGAAGAGGGGGGGAAGGTTGGCATCCTAAGTCCACTGCCAGCATCTTTTTTGATTTTGAGCCAACTTTTTTGCCATTAAATCAAAGCCTACAAACCACTATTTTTATTCAGGTTTCACAAATCAGATTGCAGGGGCGCAGGGCCGGATTAGCCTATAGGCACACTAGGCACGTGCCTAGGGCATACGAAATTCAGGGGCCTGCGAAAAACTTGGGAGAAAAAAATTTGTTGACAAAAATAATTTAGCTTTAAAAACAACAAGTGTATTTTGCACAAAATTATGAAGATACATATAAAAATATAGGGGAGAGTCGGGTAGCACCGCCCAGCGGGTACCCCCGCCCACAGTCAATTTCATGTGTATAGATTATTTTTTCAAGTCAATGGGCCATCGGACATTAGTTGTTATATTAAAAAAAGATTATTTTCAAAGTTTCAAGTATTTATGCAGCTGGTAACATGGTAAGCAATAGTTTTGAAAATATGTAGAATACAGAAGTCATGAAATTCAGAAAAATTGATTGAATGTTTCGATTAAACTTCCTTTTAATACTAAAAAAATAATTTTTTTTATACATGCAGNTATTCTTAATGCAATGTGAACGTTAAGAAAAGTATTCACAAGTTTATCTTTAACATTGTTATCGATTGAACTAATCATAATGGTATTATTGATATCAACTGCATACCTGCCAAGTCTCCTGTTTTTTAAATGAGACTCCCGTATTTTAAGCCTACCTCCCGTTTACCCGTATTATCTTTAATTTCTCTGCATTTTTTGAAGAAATTTTTTAAAAAATTAATTTTGACGCTAAAATATCCGCATATATCAAAAATACTTCTCTTATTTCTCAACAGATGGCGCTGTAGTCAGTTCGACAGTTCTTGCGTTGACGCGTCGGCCAAACTGAATGCAGTGAGAATGCTACTGTTAATCGTTTTTCGCCAATAACAAACGCGTTATTTACTTAGGTATCTGGCAATAACTTCGCTTGTGTTGTTCGCTTTCGTAATTTTACCGCTCGTTTAGACAAAAGTGGATTTCTATTTTCAGAACCATACCAAAACAACCGCCATTATTTCTGAATTTGCTGCTGTTAGCCAAAAAAAATCTTGTAGATGCATTAAAAGAACAATCATTTTCCTTAGCTACGGATGGTACAAATGACACTGACAGTAAATTATATCCAATGGTTGTTACATATTTTGACAGAAGTAGCAACAAAATACAGCCAGCATTATTAGCAGTGCCTACTCTTATTGGGGATAGCACTGGCCAAAATATTGGCAATCTAATGATAAATAAATTAGAACACTATGGAATACCCCTTACAAACTGCATTGCATTTGGGGCGGATAATGCAGGAGTAATGATAGGGAAGAAAATGGAGTTGCTGCTGTGCTTAGGCAACAAAAACGAACCGCTTATTGTAATTGGATGCTTATGCCATTTGCTTAATTTAGCCGTGGAGAAAGGAGCTGCTTGTTTACCTCTAAACATTGATGAGTTATTAGTAGATGTTTATTATTATATTGACAAAAGCTCTAAAAGGAAAGAAAAACTGGAAATGTTTGAAAGCTACTATAACTGTGAAATTAAGAAAATTTTAAAACATGTTACAACTCGCTGACTGTCCACAACAAAGTGTCTGGAACGTTTATTATCTTTGTGGATTCCTCTGCTTCAGTTTTTTAAATCTGAAATTGGAAAAAAGAATGTTAAGTCTAATAACTTAAAATTCTATACTATTCCAAAAAGGAAACAAAATGAAGTCAAAGATACAGATAAAAGTTTGCAAAATAAGGACAAAGAGCCTAAAAAGCGAAACATTAGCTGTGTGGATGATTTTGATGACAGGGCAAAAAAACGAAGCAAAATATCAACTAATGATAACAAAATGTTTTTATCAAGGCCAGAAAGACTTTTTTATCTTCTTTCATCTGATGTGAATAAGGCTTATTGTTATTTAGTTTTATATATCAATCCAATCTTTGATAAAATTAATACAGCTCTTCAGACACAAGCTCCCCTTATTCACAAATTAAGGAAAATGCTAATAGAATTTTTTAAGGAGATTTTGAGCAAATTTGTTAAGGCCATAATCATGAAACAGAGTACTGATATATTAACTGTGGCTTATCACTGTTCAGAGAACCAGCGAACAGATGATGATTTGCTCATAGGCGAAAGAGCAAAAAATATTGTACAAGAATTAACTGTAAAAGAGAAAACACATTTTTTTAAATATGTACGACAGTTTTACATCACAATGTGTGATTATATGTTACACAAGTTCCCGTTTAGGGATGAAGTTCTAATGCATGCTGAAATATGCAATTTTGAGAACATTGAAAATTCTTCATTTTCTTCAGTTAGATACTTTCTTAATAAATTTCCTATTTTGCTGAAAAGTAAAAATGTAGATGAAGAAATTGATAAACTTCAATCAGAATTTGCTACTCTCCAAGCTACAGAAATTCCTGAAAGTATAAAACAAGAGGAGAGAATTGACTCATTGTGGGTATCAATTGGACAACTAAAGAATGAACTGCATGCCAAACAATTTCAAAACACTGCAGATGCCATGTTAGGGATCCTATGCATTCCGCATAGTAATGCAGAGTGTGAAAGAATTTTTTCCAAAGTGAAAAAAATTCGAACTGAATTTCGTTCTTCACTTTCAGATGAAAAGCTAGAAAACTTACTGTTAATGAAGAGCAATTTATCTGATTGTTGTTATGAACAGGATTTTGATAAAAAATTTTTAGCTAATCAGCTACCTATCAGCTACCTATGTTCGCAACATGAATGTGTAAAAATTTTGTAAAATAAAAGTTGCTTAAAAATATGAAAATTATTTAGATGTTGATATTTTTAGTTTACATAATTATTAAAAAAAATCTTTAGACTAAGATTTATACATCTATTCTATACTGCATTGAATTTTAATGCTTATATTATTCCCAATTTAGCATTTCTCTTTTTGATTTACCTGTTTATGAATGAAGTATCATAACTGTTTGTAGCCTAAAAATGTCGCTAGTAAAATCTCCGTTATTTTATTTCTCTAATGTTGGCAGGTATGCAACTGCAATATCGGCAGCATGTCGGTATTGCAGATAAAGTTCGATAAACAAATTTGTAAATTAAAATTCATATTAATAAAAATGTTAAAAAAATATGCAAGAAAATTTTAGCATATATTTTGAAAAGAGGGGAGAGCCCAAAAACGGCTATGCCTAGGGCCCACGAAAGGTATAATCCGGCTCTGTGCCTAGGGCCTACGAAAGGTATTATCCGGCTCTGCAGGGACGTAACGATTAAGATAAGTCCTCAGTTGAAGAAACCATGCAGCGAAATACAGATTATTTTTAATTCTAATTTTCTAGCTTTAAAATATTTTAGGTTAAAACCTATTTAGTTAATTTTGAAAATTCAGAGTAATACTTAGCAAGTGATTTCCAAGCATTGCAATTTAAATGGCAGGTTTTAATATTTTGGTTATGTCTGATTTTAAATTTTCTTTCTACAGTACCAGAAGAGGGCAACTTTTTCATATTCGCATGATTAGTTTGCATCACTATACATAAATTTTTGATTAAGGATTTTTGACAATATATTTTGAAGAATATATACTGCCTCTGTTAAATGGATAGTATATATTGTTTACTTGATTTTAATTTGAAATCATAAACTTAAGTGCTATTATTAATTTTTTAGGGCCACCAGAATGAAGTGACAGCTATAACTGTTTGTCCTGATGGTTCGTTTGTAGTGACTTCTTCTCGTGACAAATCTTTACGATTGTGGAATAAGACAAGAGAGCCACTGGTTTTGCAAGAAGAGCAAGAAGAAGAGGTGAATTGTGGGCTTCAATATATGTTTTAACTATGTTCTTAGAAATAAATTCTATTTGTTTTAATGACTTATGTGTTTTATTTTTTTGCTATAGGAAAAGGAAGATCTTGAGGCAACTGAGGATTTACCTCCAGTTAGTATAAATTTTTCTGTAAATTTTTATTAATTTTGCATCAACTTAATTTTATGCTAACAGTAGCGTGAAGGATGCGCTTTGTCAAATCACTTAAAGTTAGAGTTAAAATCATTTACTTAACTGCATATTTTTCAATAAATCCTGTTAATAATGGCCCAAACTAAAAAGATTTACTCTGATTTCAAATTGAAACGATTGGATTGTTTGAATATAATTTGATTTTTTATGTTACTTTTCATTGTTTATATATAACGATTGGATTGGAACTTTAAAAGCAATAAATTTATTATTTACTATACATAATATTAAAAATATTAATTTTTTGCAATATTTTTAAATTTAGTATATCATTCAAACCATAACTTTTTCATTATATTTTTTAAACAAAGAAAATTTCATTTTCCCAGATTCCAGGAGAGGTTAATAAAGAGGTAGCACTATCAGGAATGAAGTCAGAGGAAACTATTAAAACAGTAAGTAATTTTCAGTAACTTTTTTTTTTGCTTTATATAAATGCAAAAGTAGAAATTGTAAATGTATTAAAAATTTTGAATGTGTTCTTTCTTGCTAATATAATTTACAAAACACTAATTTGGTTTATATATTTATTTTATATAAATTATAATTTTATTTTGTTAAGAATAAATATTTTTAGATTATTTACTCTTCTTTCCATTATCTTAGAAAAGTTTTAACTTATTTACTATGTTTTTTATTTTATTTTATGAACTTCAAATTTTTTTTATAAGTAGTATAGAATTCCGTTAACTTTCTATTTCTCTTGCTCATTGTCTTATTCTTTTATATACATTTATTTTCTTAAAATATTAAATATGTGAAACTATTTATTTTCCTTAGAGTAATGCAAGTAAGAAGGTGTTGGGTGTTCTAAAAAGGATAGACAATTTGAGAAACCATTAAAAATATACAATTATAAATAAATTATAAATATAAAATACTATACAAATACTTTACAATATAAGATACTGTACAACTATAAAATGCAATTTGAGAAACCAATAAAAAAAAATTTACTTTAGAAAATTAAATTTGTTGGATAATTTGCATTTTGCTCAGGAAGCTAGTCTCAAAACCACCCCAAGTCTCAAAATTAGTGATGAACAACAGATGGTGCTATTGACTTCTTTAGTAGTTAGATAGCCGTAGGTGGGCCTTTTTTCAGTTCTTGGTTTGGTGCTCCTAGCTGAAATCTTTTTCGTGTTATGTTTTTGACCATCCCAACAGAAATATTTACGGTTAATTTTATTTCCAGAATCAGATTGTGCCAATTTGATATGATGGTTACTTTGAAATTATTGTTTTATACCTTATTTTTTAGTTAACTGTGCCATCTGTTGAGGAACTTTGTTACTAATTTTGAAATTCTGTGAGAAAATAGTGATCAGCATAGCACACCTAATGCTACACCTCTTAATATTTTGTTTACTATTAAATTCATTATTCAAATTGTCAATCGTTTTCAGACACTGAGGAAAACAATGCCGACCTGGCACTTTCAAACATATTTTATGCATAACTGTATCTAAGAAGAAAATTTATAAATTCATTATAAAATGTTTAGTTACATGTAAAGAGTTTTATCGAATGTTTTTTAAACTTAAAGCTCTGAAGATCTTTTTATTCGAGAACATCAAATTGTTTCGCGGTGGCAGGATTTCTGCATATCTGTATTTTATGCTATAGAATAAAAGGTTTTTTTATTTATAAACTTTGGAATTTAGCTTTCTTAAATAGACTATTCCTTTAAGCAACAAACATCTTAATTGAAAATTTATCAAAACGAACAATAAATTCTTAACCTTTTCCTGAATATATGTTACAGATTCACCTAACTTATATTTGTAAAAATTCAAGACATTTATTTAATTGCTTGATGTATCTGTGCTCTTCTCAAAAGTTAGGAACAATTATGTTAATTAGAACAGAACTAGTTTAAAATTCCATTGGTACTGGTATTATTAATGCTAAATATCCACTACTAAGTACATTTCTATTTAATAAAATTGGAAATTTAATTTTTTTTCATTGAATTTTAGGACATGTGATTATCTTAAACAAATTTATGAAAGAAACCATCACTTACTTAATTTGATTGTTACTTACTTTGAACTGCTATTCAATTGTTAAAATGTCAAAAAACAAAAGGAGAAAACATTTTAAACCTTTGAAGAATTATTTTAAGGGTTCTCCAAATAAGCTAAAAGTACTGACTAAATCTATTTTCTACTAAAATAATAATGTCGTTTTGATTGTTCTATTGGACATGCAACAAGCATTCCAAAACAAAACATTTTCTAAAAATGTTTCAAACAGTGAAATATAGTATTTCTAGTACTACTAATGATTTGTTACTGTTATTTTCAAGTTATCATCCTATTGAAATTTTTTACTTATTTTTAAAATAAAACATCTAGAAATTATTGATATAACAACAACTTTTTTGTGTGTGTTATGTTGGCTTAGTTAACTAGTCCAACAATGGTCCTCTTTTTAGTAATAAAAAATAATATCCTAAGATAGTTGCAGAATTACAGTTACTTTTGCAAAAATTGATACTGATTCCTTTCACTAGACTTTTTTTTTTTAATATTTTCCTGTGAATTAAATTTAAACTCATTTGTTGTCAGACATTAAAGCTTAGACCTCTGTTATACAGGGTTTGACCTTAAATTTTACTTGAAAAATTTCCTCTAATTTTTTAAATTTTCTTGGCTGTCAGCAATTGTAACCACTAAACTGAGAAAATAAGGCAAGTCATTATTATTGAGCAAACTGTTGTATTATGAAATAACTGTAGTATTATTTAAATTTAAATGATTTGACAAATAATTACATTATCATGATTATATAATTATCATGAATATATTAAAAACTAAACTCAGTGGCGCGACAGCCCATAGAGGGCCAAGGCCTACTGTGCCCATCTCAGTTTTCTTGACCTTGGACTCTGGGGTGCAGGAGCAGATGTTCCGGTCAGGTGGTCAGCCGAACGCGGAACCCCCAGTGTTTAGTTCCCAAGCATGCTTGGTACTCATTTATCGACCCACTGAAGGGATGAAAGGCTGAGTCAACCTTGCCCGGCCCGAGGATCGAACCAGGGACCTGTGGCACGACCGCGCGAGGCGCTACCGCTCAGCCACCGGGCGTCTCATGAATATATTATCTATGAATTTTTAAATAATTATATATAATAAGTTATTTTTCACATATAGGTTGATCAGTTGATTGAAGCTTTGAAAGTTTATTCTTCAGAAGTTTTAAAACTTGAAGAATTTGAGCTGGAATGTAAAAGTGTTGGAAAAAAGGTTAATTTTAAATCAATAATAATAATTGAAAACTCTTTTTCATATTTGTACATTTCTAAAATATGCATTTTGCATTTTTTAAACTTTTTCTTTAGCTTCCCACCCCAGCTGCTCATCCTTTGTTGACAGCTTACCGTGCATCTACACCTCTGGAATACATTAGAAAAGTTATAGTAAAAGTTAAATCAAGGTACAAAAGTGTGATTCATTGTTTTCTTTTTATATTTTATTTTATTTGCAATCCAATCATTGTTCTTTAATTAGACCTCCATTATAACAGAGATGAGTTTTTTTCGTTTGGCGGAATTCTGTTTTTTTTTTGTTTTTGTTTTTTTTTCCTTCTTCAATTAATAAAAGAAAAATTCTGCATTTTCTCAGAAAGTGCTGCTTTTTATAATGGCTGAAAAAACTTTGTTCTTCGCCCTTTTTCCTATCTATCTCAAGTTTAATTTGAAATTACATTCACTTGATTTAAAATCGCGGATTGCGGTTTATATTCATGCAATTAAAAAAACGCATCACATATATATTCAGGACGTGATTTAAAAATCTCTGATTAGAATTCATATTCAGATGATTTGAAAATCACACATTGAGAAGCATATTCAGGTGATTAATCATTTGTTTCAGAAAAAGTTTCAAAATTGTTAAAACCATTATTTTCTTCAATGTTACCACACAATAAATGCAAAACTCTTTGAATGTTGGAAGAGTTACATGATCCCCTTAATTCTTATTTTAAGAGGTGATAATTTATGGTCATTCAAAATGCTTATGACTATCTTTTTAAAGGAATACAATAAATTTATCAATAATGCTTTTCTTATTTAAAAATTGTATTCACTCTTCTTGTGCTATGTCAGTCATATTGTGTGGTTTCTTTTAAAGTTGAAACATGTGACTTTTTTAGTTATCTTGATGTATGTTATTTATCGATAATAGCACCCCTAGCAGAGCTTATTATTTTTAATACTTTTTTCACCTATGAAGTATTATTTTAAAGTTCACTTTTACGATATATTAATATAAAGAAAAAGTTGCCTTAGTACCAACTTTTTCTGCTATTAAAATATGATAAAAAAAATAAAACAATTCTTTGTTCAAGTTGGCCAAGTATTTTTTATCTATGAGTTAATACTAACAGTATTCCTGTGCTTTCACGATACAACAACATCACATTATGACAATCATTTTTGCTCAAACCAAGAGGGTAGTTATATCGAGCATTGACTGTGTGATTTTTCATATTGTTATTTATTCCTTAATTTCCTTTTTTCTAGTGAACTGGAGGGTGCTTTGATGTACCTACCCTTTAATTATGTTTTAGATTTCTTGAGAATATTGTCTGAATTTACTGATAAAGGTTGGGAGACTGAACTTTGTGAAAAATGCACGTCATTTTTAGTAAGGTAAGTACCAATTTTCCTTTTTTTTTACTATATTTTCAAAATTTACATATACCTCCAAAAAAATTAAAAATACCCAGGAACCATTCTTTAGCTTTCACCAGTTCACTTGCTCAGACAATTTATTGTTCAATTGATATATATATATATATATTCTCCAGTGCTTGACTAGAGAATGACTGACGTCATACAGGCATCTGAAGGGTAGATTTGTTGGCCACTTTTCCAGGGGCTCCATATTAGGTGGGCCAACATTGCTCCCACAGTAAGGACAGATAGTACAAAGAATGAAAAAACATCCATGCTTTGCCCGGGATCAATTGATGCATTAATTCAGTTATTTAGTGATGCATACTTACCAACTCCTTATTTCTCTTCATTTTGAAGAACGTGAAAACTTGAGTATGCCATCAAATTAGGGATGTAACACATATTCTGCCACTTTTCTGTGGTCAGGGATTTTTTTTGGGGGGGGAGGGTGAGATGATTTGAATAGATTTAACTAAGAATACTCTAAAATTCTGTTGTTTGCTATACATTATTAGAAATATGTTTTACACNTTTTTTTTTTTTTTTTTGTAACTTTACAACTTCAGTTTTTTTTATAATAGCTGTTATTCTTTTTTATTTATCTTAAATATTTTTTATTATCTTAAATATTTCTATTATTGTTTTTTTTCCTTACCCCATATTTATAATATAGCTAAGTTTTGATTATTTTACTAAACTTTTTTACATAAAAAAGTATTTATCAGGGTGCGTAGCATTTTTGAAAAGTGCTTAAATGTGCTTATTTTTGATTTACGTTATTTAGAAGTGCTTTTTTTTTATTTGGGGTTTGTAAAAAGTGCTAACTTTTTTATCTTTTAAAAAAAGATTTTTTCTTTGCCCTGTCGATTGTCTTTCTAAATTACAAAAAATGCATGATTTTTACAATTTTCTCTGCAATATTTATCAGAAACTATTTATTTCATCATGATTTTGAAAGTGTTTTTTAATTTTATTGATTTTATGTTTATAAAGTAAGAACTTTAAAAGATAGAAAAAAATAATTTCTATTACTACAGCACTGATCCTAATTATGATATTTTTTTAGTGAGTGATTAAATATATTTTTTGAGTGCTTAAAAGGTGCTTATTTTTTGTTGAAAAATCTGGCTACGCACCCTGATTATAATTGATTTTTTTTAAAATAAAAATGTTATTCAGTTGGCGAATATTTGGTACTCGGCTGATTCACTAATCGCTTCGTCCCTCTATCAAATTATATTTTATTCACAGGAATGTTATATATTTGTTGGAATCTATTACTACTTTACTTAAACAAAAAATGTATTGTTATTTCATTAGATCAATAATGCATTGTTACCACCTTCCCATTACTTTTCATTCTTTGGAAAAACTTAGAAACTTATGCATACCATTGAACTACATTTTTCTTCTGAGGGATGCTATATTTGTTGAATTAAAAAATGTGGCATTCGTTACTACACTACATAAAAAATGTAGTTTTTTTTTTCATTAGATCAATAATTACAATGTAGAATACATAATTTTCAGCTTTATCTAAAAATTTTTTAGATTCTAATTTTTTATATCATCAAGTAAGTTTTGAAAAAAAATTTAAATTCAATGCAAAATCAAAATCTTATTAAAATTGAACATCATTTGTTTCTCTTGTTGAACAATAGTTTTAATTAATATGTAAATTTGTTTTTTGATGATTACAGAATCCACTTTGGACAGATTTTGACTTCTCAAAATTTCCAGCCTGTTATTGAAAAGTTAAAAGAAAAGCTTTTTGGTCAAGTACATCATATGAAGGTAATGTATTTTATAAATTTATTACATACTACAGTAACTTGGCAATGGATTGTGCATGCCAGAAAAATTTGCCAATCCAGGGCCTCCATTCTTGACTAAAATGTAACTATTTTCTATGAAAATCAAAAGATGACCATGGCTGCTACTTCATAAAAAAAAAAGCAGCTAGCCAAAAAATAACTGCTGAAAATAATGTAAAATGACATGAATTTGAAAGCCATTTCTCTGAAACTAAAAATCAATGTTAACTGAAATAGAAAATAAATTATGCACTGAAAAGTAAAAAGGCATGAATGCATCATAAGTGATGTCTTGAAATCGCGTGTAGTAATTACATTGTAATACATGGAAGAAATGATAAATAAGTGCCAAAAGAAATTATAGAAAAAAAAGCATGCTCATTTAGGATAGAATAGTCATGAATTAACTGCATAAGAAAGTGATAGCTCTTATTTGAAATTCAAGTGTCCTAATATCGCATTTAAAATATTGGAGTTTAAAGAACCACATGGAAATAATCTGGGAAAAAAAAAGGATAAATAAGTGTGGAAAAACTTTCAGAAAATATTGTACAGCTCTGATGAAATTTCACGATTTGAGCATATCAAAATGTAAACACTCAAATTTGAAATTTATGCGCCTTAATAACATGGTATTAAAATATTGGAATTTGGAAAATCACATGGAAAAGGCTGAACTATGAAAACAATGTGGATCAACAGTGGAATCAATGCATTAAGAATTGCAAAAAAGTTATTACTAAAATTTGAAATTTCAAACTTAAAAAACCATGGTTGAAAAAACAATAAATAACCGTTGAAAAATAGAGTCTGAAAACTATGTGGATTTACTATTGAATCATTACAAATTAATCTCGTAAGAGAGTTCAAAATTCGTAAGTTGTGATCAAATTAAAATTTCGGGTTTTGTAATATCAGCATTCATTAGCATCATATTGAAATATAGGTAGTAATGTGGAAATTACTAAAAAATCACTTTAATTTTCAAGAGAATCAGTGTAAAAATACCAGTATTCTTAATTTGATCATACACATCATGCCACACAATCAAGATTGAAGAGCATGTGAAACAGAATTTTTTTAAATCAAAATTTCAAACAGGACGACACTGCAAAAGCTTTGCCTAGAATGAATTCTTATTTTACAGGAAAACCACCTTAATGAGTGTTTTTAAAATCCTTATCAAAATTAAAAATGAGTCAAAAATTAATTTCCAATTAAAAAAAACGCTATTGATTTTGAATTAATTGCAGCGAGGGAAATCAGAACATTGAAACAGGGTTAATTGAAGGTTTTAACTTAGAGCTATTTCTAAAAATTGCCTTGTCAATTTCACTTTGTTTCCTCAAACAATTAAATCAGTTTAGCTATTTATTTCATTCGCCTTCCCGTACTGTCATTTGTCAGAAATTGGTAAGGATTTGTTTCTTTCCTCAGTTAAATAATGATTTTCGACCCCTTATGTGAATACCTTTTTGTTTTTATTTATGATATAGAACCTGAAAAAGTTTATTTAGGGTTATCTTTAAGTAACACTCCGTATATTATCTCTACTCTTTTTTAGATTTTTTTTACCTATTGTGCTACTTTTAAATTCAGAGCATACTATTCAGGCTACTGTTATTAATTTCTGAGAATACTATTTAGATCACTATTTTTGAGCTTTGGGGCTTCTAAAACAACATTTTTGAATACTAACTTCAGTGGAGGTTCTGCAATTTTTTTTATATATTCTTTTAGTTGGGTATTAATTTTGCCAACATAAATCAGCTGGTATGCTATTACGTGTCCAAGAAATGCATCATATTTTTTTTTCAAGTCCCCTTTATGATCTTTGACGTTTTTTACGTATTACAGCACTCAAGCCAAAGCACTTGTATGTAATATATAGGGGGGGGGATTAAAACAGCATTTTTTTTTCTGAAAATTTATTCTATCAGAATTCCTAATTTATTGAGAGATTCCACATTTAAACACTTATGTTGTTTTAGCTTAAATTACTATTATATATCATTATTCTAATGGTGGTTTATCTTAATTCACTAGGTAAAAGCTATATTTATTGCACAGGAAACTTGAGGCGGATCTGTATTACTTATGAAATATCTATCAGTATTTTCTATTTATCTTTAACCATCTGTGCATTAGTGGTATTTTTTTGCGAAACAAAAAATTGTTGTTTCTTTAGAAATTAATATAAAATATAAATTAATTTATGAAATGGATAAAACACTATGGCATCTAAAGAAAAAGAATGAAAGTAATCTTCAAATTTTAGTCACGTGACGCGACTTTATAAAGCAAGCTACCAATTTCTTTACGTTTATAAAGGATAATTTTATTTTAACTACCATAAATGAAGTCGTCTATTGTGAGGAAAATTTTTAATATCCAAAAATTGTTTCAGGTTTACTGTAATTATATGTATAAATTTGTATATACTGCTGATGAGCAATTATTTTATTTTTTATTCCAGGATAAAATTGGATATGCAAAAGTAGTGAGCAATCTTCAACAAGTTGCAATTGATGCACGGGAGGAGGTATCTATGTTTTCTGAAGTATTGGAAAACGTTCAAAAGAAAAAGAAAAAAGCAAGGCGAAAACTAGAACGCCCAATCATAACTTATTCTTGAAAATATTTTTACATAAATTGTAAATACATTTGTATATACTCATGTTGAATAAACTTTTTAAAAAATCTTAATTTATTCTGACACAAATTCTTATACCCTTTATATATACAGTCAAGCTTGTTTCCTGTTGAAACTGAGGTACTTAGCTCTTTAAATAAGTGTGCTCATTATAGTCAACCAAAACAAAGTGCACAAAAATGAGCCAGAAAATGCTTTAAATGGGTTACCTTTTGTTGTTTTCATTTTTGCTGCATATAAAAAAATGTTTAAGTTTTGTTTATAATTTAGTATTGCTTTTATTGGGCTTGAAATCACTATTTCTTAATATAGTTGCACTTGGAGATTGTATTCATGGCATTAAATATGTTATCAAAAGCACCTTAATGGCTTAATGATGGCAAAATTAGCTCTGCGTTGAGTACTAAACCATCATATTAAAGTTTCATTCTGAATCATATTAAGGTTCAAAATAGTGGAAGCATTCAAATAATATTTTCTGTAAAGATTAAAGATCTTTATCAAATGTTTTGATTTTTTCCCCTCGACTTTGAGGTTACCCAATGTCAAAGATAAGAGTTAATAAGATAACTCTTATCTTTGGTGCAACACAAAAAAAGAAAAGCATGTGATGGGACGTATAGTTTACAAATATTTGTCCAGGAAAATTCATAATAATACATGAAATGAATAACTGAAGCAAAAAGGAGTACAATATATTTAGTTTGCATTTGGTAACATTTTCTGTTAATCATTTCAAAGACTATCCACTATTTCTTATTTTACCTGTAGACGTTTCCTATTCATTTATTGCTTATTTACTACAATTTTCCAGCGATTTGATCCTAAAAACTTTTTTAAACTGTTTTGAAGAATATGAAATTTTTACAAACAACCAGATACATTTTTTCTTACAAATTTAATGAATATTTCATAGAAGTTTAAGAAAAATTATAATGAGTTATGTTATAAAATATTAGTTATTAAATATGAGTTATGTTTGCAGCAGAAGAGTTATAAATTTAACATTAGATAGATGTATATTTAGCATTAGATCGATCCATCTTTTCAATCCTACTTATCTATTAATTTCTTTGATACTCGAATTTACTTTTCTCAAATAATACTTATAATTATGTTGTCCCTAAATAATACTTTTATTTACTTTTTTTTTTCAATGAAACTGGGGCACACAATACTTTTCAAAAGGTACCTTATGCCTAAACCTACTTGGAGCTATGAGATGCCTCCCAAAATACCTAACGGGCCACTCTTGCCCCTCCTGTTATACTAGGAATAAGGTTCGATGTATACGTTTCTATAAAGCTAATACACGAACGATTAAAGGAGCACTTAAATCGGATTAAATTATGACAAGTCAAATACTTAAAATTTCCAATAAGTTATTTCCTGAATTACAGAGCAGCAAAAAACAAGAGAAGTTTAATTGGTCCGATCGGTCTAGTCATCCGTGAAATCAAAATTTTTCAAAAATCTTTCATTCAGCTGCGAATTATGCTCTTCTATTTAAGGAATATTTTTGATTTCGTATAAATTTTTGTTGAGTTTTTTTTATGAGCACCTTGAATTCATTTTTCTCAAGAGGGTTCATGAAACCTATTTTCAACAGTATGAAAAAATTTTGTTCTCTTATATGCTTCATAAGATTATTACATTGAAAAAGTTTAAAATAAAATTGTTAGATAAAATTATTACTTCAAAAAAGTTTAGAAAAAATATGCTTTTTTTTTAAATCCATCTAACTCCACACGAAGCGAGATCGAAATTGCACAATTTTAATTGACAATGACAAAAAGAAATATATATAGTTTCATAACTTACAGTTGATTCAAAAAGTTGTTCATGAAAATTGTAAATCTCCATAGAGTTGGCCACAATGGCTTACGTGAGGCTCTCTTGAAAGATATTCTTTAATTTTGTGTATACTTTCACTTAATTGGTATTATTTGAGAATACGACTTTCGATCCTTGTGAAAAATTATTGAAGCAGGGTGGCCACCCACCTGGAATTATCAGGGAATTTTTTTTATACTGCAAAAAACCTGGAAATATCAGGGAAATTTGGATAAAAACCTGGAAAAATCAGGGAATTTTAAAGAAAAGCTGCAAATTTTTTTAATTTCACTAATTTAAATTATTTCATCCATTATACCCACTTTTTTTAGACGGAAATGTATCTCCAAGCAGTTGAAATATCATCAACTTAGCAATAGTTTGCTTGCATCAAAATTTGCTCCATTACAGCTCTGTTAAACTAGAATGACACATAAGAACTAACTATATACTAATATTTAATTTTACTCTTTTGTTGGTCAATATATGATTTTTGATTCAAAATTTTGTACCAAAACATTAAAAAATGAATAAAAAATCTTGCCAAATTGTCAAAATAAATTTTTTTTTCAAGATATGTTAAAAAAATAACATTTTGAATAAAATATTTTATAATATAGACACTTTTCTTGTACCCACATCTTACACTTTATTAGAATAAAGAAACTAAAACCTGGAAATTTTAAGATTTTTATCTGGAAAAATCAGGGAAATTTGAAATCTGATTTGAGTGGCCACCCTGTGAAGCCATGAATTCGGTTCGGTCTATTGTTCTCTATTTCTGCAACTGATACTAATAAATTAATATTTGTATTTTTCCATGGAATTAATTGTGTTTTTCTCAGAAAATATTATATACATACTCAGAAAATATATATACTTTTTATTTCTTTATATACTATCAATGTTTTTATCCACATAATTACCATCGTTTAGGTATAAACCTTTCAAATTTTTTGATGAACTATTGATACCATAAGCTCATTTCCTATTTCTGCAAATTTATTATTAATATTTATCATAATTATAAGACGATAAAACATTTTTCTTAGTAATCTTCTCTTTTTTTATATCATAATTTATTATTTGTACATCTGGTTTTGTTTGAGATCAAATCTCCCATTCAAAAATAGAAAAATTATTTTACGTCCATATTCGTCAGAACCGATAATTAATAAGGATAGAATTCTACGGAATAGTTACAGAGATTCGTCCTCGTAACAAAAATTCGTCATTTCTCAGTCAATAATTCATTATAAAATTTATCGTTAAAAAACTATCTATTATCATTATATTGATTTGGAATCTTATTTATCAAAGTTCATATGGCGATATGATTGTTTTGATTCTATGCTAATCTCGATATCGGCCCATTTTCCTCCGAAATCCGATTGACTACTTTGATTTTAATTTAAGTGTTTTATTTTATGATTTGTCACAAAAATTTTATGTGTAGATTGACGACACTTAAAAACCGCCAAATATGTAGCGGCGGTGGCGTTAATACGTAAGTACCGAATTTTTATTCCATACTTTTTTGAATCATATTGCTTCAAACATAAGAATATACAAGAAGTATACATAAACACATAATGTTATAACATTTAATTTTTCAAAAAAAGTATTTTGACAACAATTTTTATCAAAAAATTATAAACTAAAAAACGTAAAGCATAGAATTCTTAGGATAAAAAACGATTTTAAAAATTCTTTACATTGAAATAAAAACTTTCATATTCTTTCTTTTTTTTTTTATTCTTATACAGGTAGTTCTTAATCAGGCGTAAAAAACCATTCTGTAGAGAACTATCATCAAATAAGGAAAAAAAAATATTTATAAGCAAATTTTTTTATTACAAAAATCATAACACTCGCCTGTTTTATAAATCCGCAGAATTCCAAATGGAATATTCTTCATTTGAAAATTTTATTTTCAAATAATATATGCATAGATTATCCCTTCATTACTTTTAGATAACATACCACATATCAAAATTTTATAATTGTAAGATCTCGATATGAATTTGAATATGTAGCTTAAAAATAGAATAGCTGAATTCTAGTTGAAATTATTCTTTCAAAACTAAAAAATACTTACCAAGAAAATGATAAAAAAATTTATTAATATTCAGCGCAACAAGGGCGGCGCTAGTAGGGGGGCATGTTCATCCCCCCCCCCATCGGGAAAATTTTTAAGTTTCGTCGGGAAAATAGCCTGGTCACATTTTTTTCTAAATTATGTCAAAAATTTATTTACAAATGCCTAATAAAAATTTTTGTAGTTAACTTTTTAGTTTTTATTTATTTATTTTTAAGAAATAGCAACAAAAATTTATAAAATAAATTATAAATTCTAGGTAATTGTTGTTTCACTGCACTACTCATAACTTTGCCCATACGTTGTTAAAATAGAGACCGGATGCGATTAGACATGGGTGAAATTGACGACTTTTCGTACTCCTTTAGAAATCCTTTCCCTCAGACACATCTTAATTTTCTTGGAAACTTATCTTTCAAACTGCTATTCTTTTTTCTGGAGAAAGGGGATACCTCTTTGCCTAAATAACTGACAAAAGCCTAAGGGATAGAAAGATACGCAGGTCCTCTTCTTTACGAATTCTTTTTTATGTAATGTGTCTATCAATGGTTTATGGGATCACATAATTGCTTTTTAAAATTTTTAAGCAAAATGAAAGTATAAGAATAAAATAATTTTTTCGTCGTTTTTTTTTAAATGAGGAAAATCATTTGCTTATTCGGATTCAAGGTTTATACTTTAATCAACGCAATAAATATGCAGTCGGAAAAAAAAACAGTAACAAGATCTTTCTAATTTATTATTTTTTTTATCATTTTCTTAGTAGTTAAAAAAAAGATTGTTGATTGATTCAGAAAAACAATTAAACTGTTCGTATTCAATGTCTTAAAATATATATTAATAAACATAACAGATTCTCATTGACTTATTTTATGTACAGTGCATGAAATGGAAAAAGGGAACACCTTGATTACTTTTGATTTAATCATATTTTCACGTACAAAGAGTCTATACCATATTTTAAGTTACGAAAATGAACAGAAAACCGCATTCTGGTTTGGAAAAACATAAATGTTTGTCTATAGTTTTAGGTTTTAAATTTTCAAAATGGGAAGCAGCCGCAATCTGGAACATATGGTCTGAAGTAATGGCAAAGAGAGAGTTGGAAAGTTTGGGTCCTTT